GTTATAAGTGCTGGAAAACTTTTCACAACTCTCTTTTATATATATAGATACATATGCCGAAAGACAAGATTATATATGTATATAAGTTTGTATGTTTTGGCCCTCTTTTCTATTTGAAACTTTCGCTTTCGTTACCATTCATGTTGCACTCACTAATCCATAATATATGGCTCAGATTTCACAGATTTGGATCTTTGATTAACTCGATGTTGTTTCTCGAACATCAAATGATCTGATTAATTAGATTTTGGGCCAACATAGATGTCGAATCGCGATAATTTGTAAATCTTATCTATCATTAAACGTCCATATGCAAATAATTGCTTACCTATACATTTTAGCTATGTTTTGAAACCTTTTTCTGTCAGCATTTCGACCTTGATGACCGGTAAATTGTTATACCCTGAACCCGTTTTCAGTGGGAAATCAGGCTATAATGGATTTGTAAAAACTATGTCACAGGCGCTATTAAGTATATATATTCTTAATCAGGTCGACCAGGGCTAAATAGATTTAACCCTGTTCGCCTTAGAATATATATATATCCAAAAATCGATAGCTAATCTCGATATTTTTGTAATCGATTAAAAACCTTACCGAAAATTATTATTATTTTTATATTACCCACACTTTTAGAGCTAGAGTGTCCAAATTTTAAATGTAGACTCATATTTATTTTATAGAATTTAGATTTTCGTAATAGGCGTATTTCAAATACTAGAGACTTGTGCTTGTATATTCTTTTAGAAAGATCTGTTTACTTTCCAGCAAGAATCTATACGACAGTTTCTGTTATCCATATGTGACAACGACTCTTAAATTTCGGCATTCCGAGAAAACAAGTAAAAACGTTGCAGTCAGATGCTGCCCAACCGCTCTATCCATACGCATTGATAGAAATTCATTAGGAATCATTATGTTTTAGGTTTTGAGTTTTAATCTCTGAGCTGTAGAAATTACAGCTCTGCGCCAGCTCTCCGCCGACTCGCCGCGTCCACCAAGAGATGTATCCACCCTGTCTTATTCATTATTATTAGCACTAATAGAAATTCTTAGTACACGCCCCGGCTCACCTCTAGCACGTTAATTGTCGAATTTTTAAGCCGCTAACTCTAATACATTAGGATATACATATTAAGTTTGCGGTTTGGTCCTAATGGGCGTTCGACATATATCTATAATCAGATCTAATTTATCATGTACAATGGGTTTGGAAGCAATTTTTTTATCGATCTTCTTTCTATTATTTTTGAGCTTGTGTTGTCACCGCGAGTACATATTTAAAATTTTACCTGTGAAATGCATTTTACGACCTGCCAGGCGCTTTGTGGATGGAAGAGGAAAATCTTGGCAGTTTACAAGTCGGGGCACGAGTACATGTTCCAAATTTCAAGTCAAGCTGACCTTCAATACGTTCGGGTGGATAGCAATAAATGTACATATATAGCAATGTGCATATTTGCACACACTCTGTGAAGACAAAGCTTTTATTTGAGCATTATAAAACAAGTAAGAACGTTGCAATCGAGCGTTACCGACAGCGGAAGACTCATTCACATCAGCAATTATGCCGCCAAGTTTAGCTCTAATACAGTAAAAAGTTCAGTTTTTCTCAATTTGCCACGCGCCTACTGGACGTAGAGACTTCATTTTTGACCAGCACATAGAACAAGCTAATGGTAACCTAGCTGCAATTTGGATGCTTACGCTCAAAAAATTTGAAAATTGCAGGGTATTTTTCGATATGCCACACCCCTAAAAAGGCGTAACAATTATTTTAGGGTCATCGATAGAGGATGTTACTATCTAAATTTGAAGCTTCTAGCTATAAACTTTTGCGGTTCGTCACGCCCCCTGTGGGCGGACATATATTCATTGAAGCGTTTTGGCCTTACGTGGTCAGCCCGAGTCTATATACAAAATTTGGTCTCTAGCATCAATAGTGCCCAAAATAAAGCAGAATTTAAAAAATCACTATATCTTCAGGTCCGATTTGCCACGCCCCTGATCTTTGCAGAATCATAACATTAACTTTCATTCAAAATTTCAGCGCTCTAGCTCTAGGTGATCAGTTTAATCCGAATTCCCACGCCCCTAATAGGCGTAGATATATGCGCCATAGCATATTTCAGCTTTCTAGCTCATCAACTAATATGATTTCTGGTATATCGGAAAGTGCATTTTCCGATTTGCCACGCTCTTAGAGGGCGGATCGGGTAAATGTTAACCATTTATAAATCGGAGATATATACGAGTATATGCTCCAAATGAATTCCGTTCATATTGACATACGGACAAGACGGAGATTCTAAAAAACCAATATACTCATTTAACTTTCGTGAATGAGCGTAAATATCAGAACAAAAATTTAATACCGTTAGGCTATGGTCCAAAATCGTAAGACCTATAAGAGCGTACCATACGCAGTTTATCGTATTTTTTTCGATAACTCATCCGATATTTTTATCGAGAATAATCGAAAAATTGATTTGGCTTTTCAGCCTAATTGGACAAGTTTAGACCTTGAAACTTCAGATTTACTGTGTACGTACTTATGATGAATACAATCATTTTTTGATTTACAGATTTTGGATACCACGGATTTCAAATACTAGAGACTTGAGCTTCGGAATATACACACACTTAAACATTATGATTATTGAAAGTTTCGTTAAGATTGTCCGTCTACAAGAGAAATTATTCAACTAATAAATTCTCATAATATTGATTAGAATGATTAGAATCTTAGCTTTGAGGGTTCAGGGTATCTCCTCGTAGAGCAGTCTCGATTAGAGCCTTCTTACTAGTTTTAATATCGTAAGAGATATATATGCGAGGACTCATTAGCCATTAATTTGGGATCTAAATTTATATTTAACTACTTTACACAAGATATAACTTTATAATGCATTCCAATTGCATTTCGTGATGGTCCTCATGCCATGTTACATGTTATGGCTTGCGGCGTTTGGACTGGCTGTGGATGTGGGTGTGGTTCGTATTGGGGTTCAGGTTGGAGCTCGAGTGGTGTCCAAGCTCGGCATTTTGAGCCTCTGCTACTGGTTTGAGGCGTCGCTTACTGCTCGCTCGGTTGGCGGTGGCGGGTTTCAGAGTGGGCGCCGTGGAAACACTCGAGCCTGCGCTCGCTGGTAGAATAACTGCCGGAGACGGCGCCACAGATGCAGCTGTCGGCGCGGCCAGCGTTGCAGATGTAGTGACGATAGCGCTGCCAGTCCTGGTCGTCTCATCGTAGCTGGTCAGCTGGCTGTGCTCTGTTTTGATATGGGCGCCGGGGGCAATCATGAGGAGATCGTTCGTGGTGGCCCGTTGCGGCACCTCCTTGTCGAAGCGCTCACATTTAATGTGACGCAGTGCATCGGGCGCATGCCCATTGGCCATGGCATTGTCGTTGTTGTTGGGCTCGTCCAGGTGCGGCGCCTGCAGCTGCTGCCACTCGAGAATGCCCGTCAACAGCTTGATGTACTTGATGGCCGAGCGCAGGATCTCGTTCTTCGACAGCTTCTTGTCCGGCGGATGGGTGGGCACCAGCTTGCGCAGCTCTGCGAAGGCGCCTGACACGTTCTGTTGGCGCCAGCGCTCGCGCGTATTGGTGAACACCTTTCGCACGCCGCCCGTACCGACGCCGCCGGACACCTGGCCATTGCCAAGTCCCAGCCCAGCGCCGGCTGTGCCGCTCGAGTTGCCGTTGCTGTTGACGCCATTCGAAGGCGGAGCCAAATGCCCGTTGACGAAGACATTGTTGCCGCTGCGTGGAGAGTTGGACAGTGACCGATTCGCTGGCAAGTTAGCAGAATATTGAGTTATTGACGGGGTACTGAGACTAGGACGCGAACTGGGGCTGTTGAGTTACTTACCGTCCGCTTGGCTGCCGTTGAGTACAATATAATCGCGCAGATCGTCGTCGTCCTCCTCGGTATCGTTCAGCGAGAAGTCCGATAGGTCGCCGTCTCCGTCCGAGATCGACTCCGTTTTGGGCTGCACATAGGGCGTGGCATGACGTAACAACGCCGGCGGCTGACGCGATGTCCCATTAGCATTGCCGTTGCTCTCCTCTCGCCTGCCGTTCGCTGAGGACGAGGAGCTGGAGTGGCTGGTTGTGCTGCGCTCGTCCGCATTGTCTGCGCCGTTCGAGCTGCTCGGTAGCCAGGCCATGACCGAACTCCACAACGTGTCACAGCGAAATGATACGCAGCAGCAACCGTAGCAGATGCAGAAGAAGACAGAACCCACCCCATCGACAGCAGACATTGAGGGGCGGCGCTAGCGAGCGGCTGCCACCCTTGGCCAAGGCATACACACACGGGCTGGGGCCAAGTGCAGCGAGTGGGTGGCGAGCAGATGCGAGCCTAAGACTTGTCTGGGCCCATTTCCGTGAGCGGAGAAGGGCGTACATTAAATATGGGCCTGGGAGCCGAGGGCGACGCAAAGGGGCTCGCGTAGACTGAGGCTCCCTCAGTCCTGGATGTGGCCAACTTGACTAGCTTTTGCTTCTTGGCTGACTTCTCGGCGTCCTGTGACTGGGCCGACTGCTGCTTTGACTTGTCGAGAGAAGTCGCTAGCGGCCCTGGAGTCGTTAGGGCCAGCTGGGTCGCTCGCGATGGATTCATAAAGAACATTTTGTCCCGGCGCTCGTGACCCTGGAAATTCATGCGCAGATCCACATTGTATTTGCCATCGAACACATCGTTGGGCTTGTACAAATATGTTGTGGGCGACATGGTGGGGTCCAGGTACTCCACTTGCAGCTCCACCGGAAAGTCTGTGCTCAGTACCTCGGTGATCTCGAAAGGCGCGGTATCCGCCACATGCAGACGCAGCGGCAGACGGGGCGACATGCGAAAGGTGACACGCTTCACATAGCGGCCCATGTCCACATTATCCTCCGCCCTGATATATACGCACCACGTGGGCTCGAATACGAAGGGCCGAAAGTCATCGGCCTTCTCGGGCTTGCATCCCAGCACTAGATTCTTACAGATTACAATGCCATCGCCGGCGGCGTTGTCGCCGTCGTCTGTGATCCGCCTCATCGAGGCTGCTCGGCGGTAGCTGACTCGCTGATAGCCATCCAAAGGATATGAATGGAGGTTTATGACGCTCATCATAGCAATGTAGATTCGTTGCTCGAAATATAGAGATATAATATAATTGATGTCGACACTAATTAACTCTGCAATTTAAGGCCAGGGAATTTTGGAAAACGCGCCACAAGGACTAGAAATGTTTCAAAATTATTATTTACATATAAATCTGTTTTACCGATTGTTCACTTAGCATACCAGAAAATTTTTAGCATTTAAATCCAGGCAACATGGATCTGCCTAGTTTGAAGCTTCAATCTCTTGATTAGGTACGATTCACCAGGGAATTAAATGAACGAATTCCTAACAATTTAAAACTTTTACCAATTATTTCCACGTCCCATTCCCAACCATATTTATTGAGTTACGCGTATGAAAATATCTTTAGAAATATCTCAAATGTATGCTGAATGTCTATCGTTACGTAGATATCGGCAATCTTTTTCCAAAGATGTCCATCATTCTATTAGCAATGGTGGAATTGAATCGGAATATACAACACTATAACATACAACATTATATACAAGATATAAAAATATCCTTACAGGGCTTATTTTCAAGGGTATTCAATAATCGGGTTGCCAATTAGTTAGTTAATTAATTACTCGACTTTGCTAATTGTCAATTCGATCGTTATCTTTGTAATGCCTTCACATTTTTTTTTTTAGGACAAGGATTAAGTTGGCAATTGGAAAAGTTTGAAGGGTCGAGCGTGTAAATTTCAACGCTACTAACTTTTTCAATTGCATCCGCGAATATTTTCACGCCCTGGATTATACCAGTATCCGCCCAAGTTGCCCACTCTGTATGCCCACATCAGCTCTCTGCACTTGCAACCCTCTATGTGAGTGATAAAGAGAGATGGAAATACAGGGGAAGAGAGACGCTGTTTCGACGCAGGCGCTGAAACAGAACTGGGCGGAGCCAGCGAGCCAACCCCTATTCTCCAACTTTATCTCACCCAACTAGCCCAACCAAACCAGTCACAATAGTCAGATAAATCCGCACTCAGTCCAAGTAGCTGTGACTTGTGGGCTGACGACAGGGAAGTGAGCTTTAATTGCAAATTCCTAATCGTGATAGACGGACGTTTTCAACTGAAAGAGTTGCAATAGATTTGATATATATAAATAAATCTCTTAAGTCATACTAAAAAGAGCTCTGAATTATGCATTTTGTGTCGACAATAAAACACAGTTTGGATATCAAAACATAAATTCAGTGCTGTTTTTATTATAAAATGTTCAAGTGATATTCTTAAACCAAGTAAGAACGTTACAGTCGGTCGTTACCGGCTTCGGAATACTCATTCACACCCCATCAGCAATTTGGTAGCTAAATTTTGATCTAATACAGCAGAAAAATCATTTCTTTATTTATCGCTTTGCCACGCCCCTACTGGGCGTAGACACTTCATTTTTGGCCAGTTCATAGAACAAGCTAACTGTAACCTCACTGCATTTGGATGCGTACGCTCCAAAAATGAGAAAATTTCAGGGTATTTTTCGATATGACACGCATCTAAAGAGGAATCGATAAAGGAGGTTACTAGTAAAACTTAAAAACTCTAGGAGATATAGTTCTATCCGATTTCTTACGACCCCAATGGGCGTAGATATATCCACCATAGCACGTGATCTTGAGTGGTCGACGCGGATCTACATTCCAAATTTCAGCTTTCTAGCTCTTCAACAAATATAATTTCTGGCATATCAGAGAATGCATTTTCCGATTTGCTACGCCCCAATTGGGCGGATCGGGAAAATTTTCAGACTTTATAAATCGGAGATATATACGATTATGTGCTTCGAATTTCAAGTGTCTAGATTCAATAGCGCCGAAAAAAATTGCGTTTATACGGACAGACGGACGGACAAGAAGGACATTACACAAAACCAATATACTCATTTCACTTTCGAGTATAAATATATAAATGTAAATCCATTATGCAATTATGTAACAGAAGAATTCATACAACCCATAAAAGTTTTGCAGTACATGGTCTAGGGTAACTCGATAATTGATAGATTCGATTCAGCAAAAGGTTTGCCTCGTCCATTTCCACATGTGTGAGAATGCAATTGATAAAGAACTTAATTTCCATCTGTGGTGGAATGAAAATGAGAATAACTTAAAATTAGTCGTATCTAGAGCCAAGTCCTTATGATCCGCGCTGCTACAATTTATGTAGAATATTATGAGACAAGTTTCCGACAAGTGGAAACATGAGCCCGAGCTGAAAAGTTTTCAGGCAAAGTAGGCTTGAACTGCTCGCCTAGGGTGGTCAGGTATAGAAAACTTTTACGAAACACAAAGTCTCACATCTGGTCTCTCTCTGTCAAAGCTAAAATCTGAAAAGGAAATTCGATCAAAAATGGGCTTGACTGTCGCTGACTGTAAGAAGATGCTCGCCTTACTCTTTGCCAATATGTTCTCATCTTTTGTCGGACTCCTGCACGATTCGTGGACAAGGCTCATGGGACTGTGCCGCAAGTTTTATATCTACATGTTTGTGTTCTCCATATCCAATGCCATAATGGTTTACGAAATTCGCAAGCTGACAATGAGCTACGACAGTATCGGCGGGCTGTATTTGCACGCCTTCATCGTATCACTCTCGATGTCGTTTATGTTCTTCTACGCTGGCTTGGTCTTTGAAATTTTTCGCAATCACATTCAAGGCCACCTGGTGGTCCCACAACGATCGAGAAAGGTGAAGAAGCTGCAGAGAAATCTGTAATAGCCTGAGCACTTTGCAACAAATGGTTCTGTAAATTAATAAATTAAATTCTGTGTTAATTATCTAATGAAATAAATTTATAGAAGATTTGAGATACATATTATATGATCAAGAGATAATCACATCGAGCTAAAAACCTGTTGCCTGCTCTTTTCGATCGTAGCAGCTGATTCCTTATATACATCTCCAAGCTTTAGGTATACTAATTTTATTTATACATACATTTCTTTATTCCCAGCTACAGGAATGTAGATAGAATTCTTGTTGAAATCGATTTCAAGACAAAACGTAGATTGGCATTAGACGTAAACAATTCTCCATGTCTGACACAGACTGCATTGGTATAAAGATATATATACAATCGTTACAGGTGGATCACACACAAACATACTCTTGCTGCAATCGAAAGTTGTTGTAGAACTTATTCGGAGAATACATAGACAATTTATGTGCAACTTTGCATACACATTGATGGACAATGAACAATTTCCATAAGACTCCATAAAAATGATCCAAGAACCAAGAGCCATACCTTTTTATATACTCATTCACGAAAGTTAAATGAGCATATTGCTTTTGTGCAATATCCCTCTGTCCGTCCGTAGAAAGTCAAGTCAGAATATGGGCTGTGAATAAGTTATTATTTATTTATTTTTTGTTGTCAAGAATTAATTCTAAATAACAATTTGTTAAGCCAGAGCGACAAAGGCCTTCAG